GATCAGCAATGTTGAGGCTGGTCAGAACTGAGAGGGGTAAGGGAGAGAATACCAGGTGCTGTAAGCTATGCAACATGCCTAGCAAGCTGTCGATGGAGACAACTTTGCTGTTTATACTAACAGAAGATACTGATATGTGGAGGTGCTTCTCAACTGAAAGGTCGCAAGACCTACCTGGAGTTGGGGAGAGGAGGTGACTGAGCGTTTATTTGAATGTATTAGTTACCAATTAGGGTTAGATTTTTTTTTCCTTCCTTGGAATGATTCACATTTTAATTGTATTTCTCAGTTTATGAAAGACAAGGGGGGGGAGTACTGATAATACCCAACCAAGAATGAATTAAAGAGGGAGGAGTGAGTGCACCAGTTGAAGAACTTTTCAGTACCCTCCTCATAGCACCTATGAACTGGCTTTAAGAAGAATAAAAAGGTGTTTTTAATAGTATAAAGAATCAACAAAAAAAAAAAAAAAAAAGAAAAAAATTTAATGGTAAAGTATATACTGGTGTTATTTTATGACTGCTGAACTGGTAAGCAACACAAAAGGCTCTTCCAAATTTTGTGCTTGTATTATTTTAAAAGATTTTACTTTTATTTTAGCTTCTTCAGAAATTTTTGAGAAATGAATTATGGAATAGGGAAATGTTAAATTTATAAACATTTTATATATATATATATATATATATATATATATACACACACTAAAATTCAGATCAGTTGAATCCCGCACCTTGGTTTCAACCTCACAGTGCACTTTTATTTTTATTTTTTTTCACATGTGTATTGAGCAATTTTTAATACTACTATCTACTCTTCTAATTCAACTCTGACCATTGACCTATATATATGATGTATAATTTTATATATTGACAAGCAGCATTTAGAAAAATATGACAAATTGGTAAATTTCTTGTAATTGGTTTCATCCAATTAGGCTTTGTTAATGTTGCCATTCATCTCTTGTTTTGTGTGCATGTGTAGATGTGGTAACATCAACAAAACCCAGTCCAATGAAATCTGAATGGATGAAATATGTCACAAGAAATTTTCTGGTTTGTCATATATATTTTCTGTTTATATGTTATTTTTATAGATACAATTATTTAAGCAAATGCTCTGCTTATAATAAAGTATTAATTACATTTATAGGCCTGAATGTCCCAGATAAATGTAATCAATACTGTTTATTATAAACAGAACATTTACTTAAATAATTGTATCTGTGGAAATAATGTATAAACAGAAAATATATTCAAATAATTGTTGGAATTAGTCCATTTCATAATATAAATGTAATTATTATAATACAACTTAAAAAAAATATGTTAACATTTTTCAGGCTAAGAGAACAGCCAAAAGTGCAATAGTTAACCAGAGCTATAAAAAAATTAGAATGACTTATCTGGTTAGTTGACTCAAGAATTTCATGTGGAACTGCTGATCTCAAATGTATATGAGCATTCCCATGCTAAACATTTGAGTTGGTCAACTAAATAAGTCACTTGAAATTTTGATTTATTATATATATATATATATATATACACACACATATATATATATATATATATATATATATATATATGAAGAAATATACTCTTAAGGTGTGCTATATTTATGGGATAAAGTGCTCAATATCAGAGATAAAGCGTGTGTAAATATAAAAGTGAACATTGAAGTCAACACTTAGAGGTGACAGGCTGTTTCATGCTACATGCAATCGTCAGGCCATGAGTGTTTTTTTTTTTTTCTTCTCAGCTATTTTTATATACAGGTTAGTGGTGCATTGTGGCTAGTCTATTTTGGCAGTTAAACTGCTCCCACCAAAATAATAGAATAAACTACAGCAATCAAACCCAAAATTGAATAAATAGCTTTATCTTCCCAAACCAAAACTATTAAATAGGTGATATAAACAAATTTTTACTACGTTAATAAAACACCGATTAAAATAAAAAATAAATATATAAGAAATAAAAAAAAAACAAACAAAAACAAGCAAACCCAAATAAATAAACGACTTCTGGCAAATAACCAATAAAATAGACTACCCACAATGCACCACTGACCCGTATATATGAATAGTCAAGAAAAAAAAAAAAATAGTGGCCTGATGATTGTGTCTAGTATGAAACAGTCTGTCACCTCTAAGTGTTGACCTCAATGTTCATTTTTTTATTTATATATGGTAAAGAATTTTAAAAATTACACTGAGTGAATTCTTAGTGCATCAGTTATTCAAATTATTTCTTAAATACTTATAGTGTATAAATAATCCCAACTTCACCTCAAAATTGTTACCTACTGAAAAAAAATCTTTTCTAATTTCAAGTTAGAAGTCACAGAAGAGCGATAATGATTTTCAGTCACGATGTCAAAACTTTTGTTTTATATTCATGCCTTTTTTTTCTCTAAGTCTGCAGACTAAATAAATAATTGTTTATGAAAAGAACACAGAAGATAAGCTTTTGATTTTTATAACAAAATTTGTTTAGGCAACTTATGCAGAAAAATGTGTAGTTGTGAATCATTATGGCTGCAAAATGAATGGCCAAAAAGAGCATCAAGAAAAGAAAAACTCAAATAGAGAAAAATAATTGTATCTGAAATGGAAATAAAAGAATAAAAATAATGCAAGGAAAAAAAAAACAAAAAAAAAAAAATAAAATAAAATAAACAATGTTTTTTGTTGTTTTTTTTTTAATTTAAATACTTTTTTTAAGTTGTTCATATCTTCACTTCTTACATGAATGACCTGCCATGGCTGTTTCAAAAAAAAAAAAAAAAAAAAACAAACTTGAATTGGCAAAACATTGTCTTTTACCAAAAAAAATGGAAATCAGCAAGTTTTATTTTATCTTATTTTTAAATAAAATTTAAAGGAAAATAAATTTAGACATTCATAAGGTCAATGGTGGAAAACTTTTGGGTCATAGTTCAGTTGACTTTCACTTTAGCTATTCTGTCCCCCTCACTGGTTATTAAGTGACGACCTCTACTCAATCAGTTAAAAAAAAAAAAACAAAAAAAAAAACAACTACACATATGCATATTGCTCAATATCATTTCAATCAAAACTGGATTTATGTTAAGACAATTTTGGGGGGGTACTTACTAAAATACTTGGCCAGTTTCAACATGTGCAGCAGAAAATACCGAGGGGTTAAAAAATAAAATAAAAATAAAACCAACTTGAATGTGGAGCTGATTGAAAATAATCAGGTTGACTTTTCTCTGCTGCAGTTGCTGCTCTGTAATACATACAAAATACAAGTTTACAACAAAGATAAATAAAAAAAAAGAAAGACAAATGTTCTACAATTTCAAAGAAAACATAGAAGGCAGTTAAGTAATTCCTAAATGTGATCTATCAACCCCACCAACCCAACAGATTACTAAAAATTAAAAGATGATCAACATTTAAGCAAATCATTTGAGAATTTCAGGCACTGTAAATAGTTCCCCTCCACCTTTGCCAGTTATAAATAAAACAGCCGATCTTCTTGATTTAAAAAAAAAAAACAAAAAATTTTATCAATTTATTTTAATAATAAAAACAGAATATGGTATAATTAAAAAAAAACAAAAAAAAACAACAACACATACACACACAAAAATATCCAGACTCTCCAGGTTTTTCCTCAGATGTATCCATGAGGTCATCTTTATTGGCATCATTTGCCCTATCAACACTGTCACCAAATTTTGTTGCCCGCAACAATAGTGACATTGTTTCTGGAAGTTATTTATTTATTTAAAAAACAAAAAAACAGAGCAAACAAAGTCTGATTCACAGAGAAGAGTTCCATTCTGATTGCAGAAAAGAGAGAAAAAAACCAAAAAACATAAGCATCTTAGCATGGTGTTGTTGTAATTCCTTTTATAATGGTAAAACTTGTTTTTCTTGCAGATGTTGGTATAAAAAAAAGGAAAAAAAATGGGGGTTCAAGCAAGAAAAAAAATTTGAAACAAAATTAGATATCTGAGTACAAATAATATTTGCACTTTTTTTTTTTGCTAAGCAATGTAAATTTTTTTCTTAAAAAGAGGAACATTTTTCTTTAATTATTTTTAATAATAAAAAAAAAAAAATGTTCCTCTTCCACTGTAATTTTCATACTTTCTTTTAAAAGAAAAAAAAAAAAAAAAAAATAGAACAAGAGAATTTTCACAGGAAGAAGTGCCAGAAATTAGTCTTTGACAAACTAAGCCTCACAAGCTATACCTTTCTTTTAACAAAAATTAAAAAAAAAAAAGAAAAAAAAAAAAAGAAAAAAAAGAAACAAAAAAAAAGAAAAAAAAAAAAAAAAAAAAAAAAAAAAAAAAAAAAAAAAAAAAAAAAAAAAAAAAAAAAAAAAAAAAAAAAAAAAAAAAAAAAAAAAAAAAAAAAAAAAAAAAAAAAAAAAAAAAAAAAAAAAAAAAAAAAAAAAAAAAAAAAAAAAAAAAAAAAAAAAAAAAAAAAAAAAAAAAAAAAAAAAAAAAAAAAAAAAAAAAAAAAAAAAAAAAAAAAAAAAAAAAAAAAAAAAAAAAAAAAAAAAAAAAAAAAAAAGAAAAAGAAAAAAGGAGAAACCTATAACTGAATATTGGAGCTTCCCAGGTCAAATTTAAACAAGAGTTGTGCCATGGATGACCACAAGTAAACACCAGATGTGAGAAGTTAATATTGCAAGTTAAGAAATGTCTAAATTGGTTTCCGCTTGATTTTTTTTCTTATTGGTTCTATTGAAGGAAAGAGACAAAAGAAAAAAATTCCCAAACAAAGAAAAAAAAAAAATTTTTAATGTGAAAAAAAGAAACTAAATTTGAAATGTTTCCCTCATTGCCTAATCAGTGAAGTCAAGGTAGAGAGTTATTAATAGCCCAGATTCAATAAACCTGTTACCAGAACAGATAATAAAAAATAATACTTTATCTCCATCACCAAGAACAAATTGATTAGGTAGCAAGGATCACAATTAATGGAAGTAAATCTCACACGATAAAAAAGGTCAGCAGATTTTTCTCTATGAGAAAAGAGAAGAAGAAGAGAAAGAAGAGAAAAAAAGAGAAAGAAGAGAAAAAAAGAGAAAGAAGAGAAAAAAAGAGAAAGAAGAGAAAAAAAGAAAGAAAGAAAAAAGAAAAAAAGAAAAAAAAAAAAAGAGAAAAAAGAAAGAAGAGAAAAAAGAAAAGAAGAAAAAAAGAAAAGAAGAGAAGAAGAAGAAGAAGGAAGAAGAAGAGAAGAGGAGAAGCGAAGAAGGAGAAGAGAAGCGAAGAAGGAGAAGAGAAGCGAAGAAGGAGAAGAGAAGCGAAGAAGGAGAAGAGAAGAGAAATTCCTGGAAGACACAGGGCTTTACATTTTTAAAATTCTTTGATCCATTATCTCAAAAGGAAGTCAAAATTTCTATTTGGATAAAATTCCAAAGAAAATATAATATTTTATAAATACATTATGTAGATACTCTACCACCACCATACACATGACTCAAACAAAACTGTAAGTCATCAAATTGATTTCTATAATAAGCATTACAATTCCACAACTTACAGTACAAGTGAAAATTTGCTTACGATTTTACATTAATATTAGAAAACTTTTCAAGCCATCATACAAATACACACAAGATTTTTAATATTTAGTAAAATTGATAACATTTACTAAAAATGATTTCAAGCATATCAGCTAATATAACATAGTAACAATCTAAATATAAATTCCAATCTACTTATTTCCCTTGAAACTCATAGATTATTTAAGTTTTTTCAGATGAGTGCAATTCTTTCTTGAATTGTTAGGTTTAATAGATTAATCAAATTCATTAAAGAGTATTTCAATATTAGAGTATTAACTTATCTTTTTGTACTTACACATAAAATAAAAAATAAGTTTGCAGACTTTAATACTAACAATTTGTTTCTGTCAAGCAACTTGACAAAACGTTACTTGAATTGTTGTGCAGCTGAATGACCATTTTTAAAAAAAAATATTTTCAGGCCTGATATATGATCATATATATATATATATATATATATATATAAAGAAATATAGTTTTAAGGTGTGCTATATTTATGGGATAAAGTGCTCAATGTCAGAGAGCGTATGTAAATATAAAGACAATTATGTCTAGCATGAAACAGCCTATGGCATCTGAGTGTTGACTTCAATGCTCACTATATATATATATATATATATATATATATATATATATATATAAATAAAAAATTAGAAAAAGCAAAATCACAAATATTGTTAAGTTTAGATTTTAATTGATTATTCCTGCAGCTGGTTGCCAATTCCTATATAATTTCTTATGTCATAAAAGCAATCTACTGCATTCTAGTTTCAGATACAAGACTCATATTATTGGTTTTCTTATAAGGGAACATTCAGCATTCATTGACTGAGCTGCCAGAACTGCTATTGCTTGAAATTTATAAAACTTTTCTCTTACAACAATTTTTCAGAAAAACAAAGTTTCTCAAGCATAGTTGCTCTTATTGCTCATTCCAGTATTGATGGCAATTTCTTTAACTTTTTATTTGAAGTCATGTAGAACATCAACATTTTGATTGTGTCATTTTCTCTACATGTTATATGTGCTATCCATTTTAGTTGTTGCCGCTGTTGATAGTCCGTCAAGTGATTTATTTATTTATTTTTTTATCTAGCACAGTTCTTTGTGATTCTGTAGTACTATTCCACAAGGTTTGAAGATGTGTAGTCTTTGCCAAGCTTCAGAGGCTTCATTCACTCAAAGCTATTTTTAACCATTGATCATAGAAAGCCATTGTATACAGCTTGATAGTTTAGATATTTCTGAATGGGTTTGACACCATACAATGGATACACTGATATCTCAAAAACATCAAAATTAATGTGAGAAACATATGAAAGGTATTCTAGTTAAAAAGCAATAGAAAAAAAGTAATTTACTTAAGAACCATCATTCTCTGTAGGTTACTTGGATCGATACACACCTGATGAAGGCCAGAGAGCATGACCGAAACATTGTTATAACAACAACAAAGAAGAGGAGAAGAGTTTATATGTAAATAATACATGATTTATATAAGCAAATATTTTGATAACTTCAAACATTATTTGTAGTAGATACCTGTAGACACGGTTTATTTTAAGCAGTATTTGTTTCTTCTTCTTGCTTGATTGTGAAGCACTTTGAAACCGAGTGGTCAAAGCATGCTGGATCTCTTGCTATGTGGGAAACAGGTTCAAATCCTGACGGAGAGCACATTTTCTTTAATAAGTTTTTGATTGTGCAGACCCATAGATAAAATAAACACTGTTTAAAAAAAAAAAAGATGGAGCATCTACTCTAATATGGGTATCCACTAAAAATGATTGAAGTAATAAAAATATGTCAAAATTCAAAACAAATCAATTAACTCTTCAGAAATAGTCAAATATGCATAGTATAGACACTTTTTACTTCTACTAATGTGTCAGTTTATTACTGAAATACTGATATTTTCAACTAGTAATGAATTAAATCAATAAAAGTAGAAGTAAGAGAGCGAAAATTTTACAGAAGTGAGAAAAAAAAAAAAAATCATACTAAAAGAAAATATTCTAGTTTGACAGCTGATGCTATTAATCCTTCAAAAAATACCTTTTAAGGAGAAGTAGTTGTGAAAGAGGAAAGAAAAATTGGAAGCTGGGATTGTTGGCTGATATGAAATGCAACAGAAGTCCAGAAAAATATTTAAAGAAAAAAGAAAAAAAAAAGAAAATGAGAAAACTGCAAGAGGTTAATAAAAAAAAAAAAAAAAAAAAAATTCAGAAGGAAAAAGATTTTCTGCATGTATAACAAATATGTAATTTGTTTTCAGTTTTGTCTTCTACAAGCCACAAATGAGGAAATGTTTTACAAACTAACCATAAAGAATCCTGACTTGTTTAAGAAATATGAAAACCAGATCAGAAAACAAATTTTAATGATTTCTTATTTTCTAATGAAAAGAAGTAAACTCCAAATTATCTTTTTTTTCTCTCTTAAATATTAAGAGAATTAAAAGATTATCAGAGTAGAAAATAATTTTACTTGTACTTTCATTAATAGTTTTTATGGTTACATATACTTCCACTAATTCGGTATTTCTAAGGTTTAAAATGAATTTTTAAAAATGAAAAAGCTTTTATTTATTTTAATTGAAAACTAAAGGATTTAAAATTTACTATTTCCAGTAAGCAAAATACTCTGTGATGTATTTCAAATAGAAATTATATTGATTGGAATCGATATTTTTTTTCTCAGTAAAATTGATAAAAACGACCATTTTGACACATTTGTAAACAAAAGTTAAATCTCAGTTTTAAAAATCTTGCAAAAATAAAATATATTTCTGAAATGTTATTTGAGGAAAATTAGCAAATTTAAAGTTAAATTAATCTGATTTGAAACATTATTTATAGCATAAGATGTTGCATACAAGCATTTCTTAACTATGGGGGGGGGTCTTGTTTTTCTGACATGTTAATCGATTTATTGACAGCTGAATGACCACTGAAAGTGTTCATAGTTAAGTATGGTGGAGCAGATGAAAAAGTTTATATGAGGGTTCCCCCCCCCCCCCGTAAGTGAGATGGGGACAAATGTGATCTTTTAATGATAATGTTATAGGTTTGAACATTCGTACTTAGAAATTCTGCATGTATAAACACACATGCAAAAACAAATTGAAATTCTTTTAAAAATATCCGGGATCATCAGATTGTAATAAGGTTTACAATATATGATTAGTAAATATAGTTTTACTTACAAATATTTCCTAAGAGTTATCACACCGAGACTGAATTTTAAAAGATTTAAAAACTTTATAAATTATTCAATTGAAAATTGTAAAAAAAGGAAACAAATCTTGTAAAAATTAATTTTTCATTGAATAAATGTTTTTTTTTCTTCAGATAATATTGTCTTTAATATATATTATTCATATAAGCAATTAAAAGCTTCTCTAATTAAATAATGTCTTAGTTTCATTGCGTGTTTTATTTTTCAATTAAGAACAGATTTTCAGTAAGACGGGGTACAATTCTTCAAAAAATTCTGCTTTTAACTAATATAGTCACTAAAAATTCTCGTTGAATTTCTCAAGTTTTCATAAAATTAAGTAAGGGGCTGAAGCACACAGAAAAAAAAATATTTTTACGAAAATTTTCTAATAAAAATCTTCAAAAATAATTAATTTTGAATAAGTCCTGAAAATTTAATTAAAATCTGACAATTATTTTATTTTTTGCAAGAATTTCCAAATTAACATATCTGTCACCACAAAAAAAGAGGCTAAAATTTGCAATGCTAAAAGTTAGTACAATTGCTGACATAAGAAAAATAAGTTTTTAATCAAAATTTCAAATGTTCTAAAAAGGAGTAAAAAAAATTTAAATATTCAAAAAATACTTTAATCCTTCCTCTTAATAAGAACAAAGACTTTGATGATAAAACTGTTTTTTCATTACATTTGGAGCCTTTTTTCATCATGATATGCTGATTTTTTAGCAATTTTATGGAAGTACCTATACTTGTATTTATAGCTACCTCTCGAGAAAGGTTTTAAGCATGTACTTTGGCAATTAAAAATTTGTGATACAATAAATTAAGCATTTGACCTAATCTTGTTAAAAATTAGTATTAAGATATAAAAGTATGTGCATGTGTGTATGGCCAAAACCTGATTAAAAGAAAAGGCCAAGATATAGATGGCATCACTTAAAACATTTATAAACACTAATAAAATAAAGTCCCATATATTTATGATCAGATCGAGTCATTCAATGTTCAACTCTTGCTGGACATAATTCTCTAGTCATATACACACACATATATAAGTAAATAAATTCTTAATTGATATAATTATATAATAATTTAATGAGTTATTAGTATTAAAATTTTTAATAAAAAATTTCTTTATACAATTTTATATTGATTTTTCCTTTATAATCTTTAAAACTTAACCTTTATATTTGCTTTTTTTCCTATTTGAACAAGAGTTGATATGTTAAATATAGGTCACTGTTAATCTTTAACCTTTTTTAATTTCTGTCTAGACTTGTCTGTCATGACTTCCTGTCCATCCTTTTCTAACTACCTTTTTACTAAGTTTTCTTTTGTCTCCCTATCTCTCTTAATGCCATTTCCCTTATTTGTTGTTTGTTCCTCTTCTTTTCTTCCTTCTTTAAATCTTATTTAAAAAAAAAAAAAAAAAAAAAAAAAAAAAAGTAAAAAAATTAAAATTCATTTTTTTTAACACACGTTTTTGCATTGACAAGCCCCAGGGAGTGGGGTGGGGTGGGGGGGTGAAATGGTTATCTGAAGGGGATAAAAGAATTTTCATTTTTATGTAATTCATTTATATGCTCTATAA